CAGGAGGAAAGGTGGTTGGCAGCTGGCTGGAAAAGTCAGAAGAGGATCTGTACCAACTGGTCTAGCTCAGTTGGTACGTGCATGAACCGTTGAAATACGGACCGGAGTTAGAAACCCAGAGGCAACCAGACGAACAGAACAAGATAATTCTGAACTACGGTCAGTGCAACGATGATATCCCAACGCCATTCCCCTTTTTTTCCTCTCCTTTTTAAAGTTTTTTCCTAGGCTACCAGAGTGGCAAGGGGCCACTTGCCCGGCCAGGCCAAAAAAAAAAAGAAAAAAAAAAGATACTTTTTTATTTTAAATTTTATTATTGATCTGGTAAAGAATTCGATGTCGCCCTGTGGCAAAGTTGTTCAGTTCATTTTTCTACATAATTGTGTCATAAGACTCATAGCATAGTTTTTTTTTCGTTTTTTCTTTTTTTTTCTTTTTTTTTCGCTGGGCCCTCCCCTGGTCCATGCACGGGCGGGCTGCCCGGGAAAACAGGGTGACCCAGGCGGCCTGTCTGGTAGCTTAGTTTTCTTCCCAACAAAAAAGAGAATAGCATCTGAGAAGACAGGAGGAGAAGGAAGGAGGAGAAGGAACGAGGGACGAGGGATAGTGAAAAGGGGAACAACGGAGTGTGAAGATAGATGCATGAACACAGAAGACTGTACAGAAGTGCGAGGAAAAGACGGGAAACGAATGAAAAGGGAACTTAGGGGAAAAAATAGGAAAGGAAACGTAGAAAGGGGAATGAATGGTACACAAGGATAGCGCTTGCACTTTTACTTTTTTCCCATTGCTTTTTTGTTTTTCCCTCGTCCGTCTTCCGTATGTTAATTTTGCATGTTGCCATTTGTTCAGGTGCCTTACCTTCTGGATCTCCACCTGTACTTGTCAAGACCTGTGAAACCTGCACCGCAGATCGGCGACGAGCAAGCGTCGTCAGAGCAGGATGGCGTGACAGTGTTCGGCCACTTTCCACAGGTGAGTTTCACTTTGCTTGCTGATGGCCTGATACCGCTTGACCTAAGCTGCCAGGCTGGGTTCTTTTTTTTTTTTTTTTTTTTTTTTTTTTTAGCCAGGCTGGGTTCTAGCTACCTTCTTCCCCCGAATCCAACGTAGTACTGTCATTATACCTGCATTTAGACTCAAAGATACCCCAAATAGAGCTATAAACACCATACGTTGTATTCGGGGGTGTTGTGAGGTCCCAAGCAGCCCTCTGCTGGGCTCCACTGGTTCCCAGCCATCAACTTCCTCGAATACAACGCACCCTTGATCATGACTGGCATTAGGAACTTTCCAAACATTGACTGAGACACACAGCTGATTTCTGAGTTTTGCCAATGTAAAAAATGTATGCTGTGCTGAGTTTCCTGCTTGTTGCTGAGTTTTCTAAGTCTGAGTGTGTGCGTGCTTGTTGGTCTGTGTGCCTGTCGGAGTGCTCGTCGGTTTGAGTGTGTGCGTACGAAGGGTGCTTGTCCGTGCGGATGGTCCAAAGGGCCGGTACTTACCTGTGGCCGTGACATTGAGGGTTGCAGCGGGGGAAAACACTCAAGCGGCGGGGAAAGAGGCCCGGAACACTTGGAGCAGCGGAAAAACACTCAAGTAGCAGGTAGGCCGGTACCAAATGAGGAAGAGGTAGATGTGCCGGGTACTCGAGGCCGAGCAGAAGAAGACAAAGTTGGCAATTTTTAGAGGCCCGGTAGTTGTAGGCTAGGTCTAGGCGGGTACCCATCCAACCAGTCTGAGTCTAGGGCCCGTACGGGGAATGCGGAAGCATTGCTCTTCCTTAAAGGATTCTGACGATACTGCGAGACGTCGACCTCGACGCAGTAGCGCTCTTTCAATGTGGAAGCATTGCTTCTTCGGTGCCCTCTGTGCTGTTCTTTCTTTCGAGTCGACGCTTGCGACGGAGTTCGACGATGAAGTGTCATTTGCAGTCTCGTGTATTCACTTGTAGTGTGTGCGTGATTGCTATATCTTCATGTTCATCTATGCATGGATGAGCTTTGCGGCAAACTGTCTAATAGCATACTCTGTGCTGTTCTTTCTTTCAAGTCGAGGCTTGCAACGGAGTTCGATCATGAAGCATCATGTGCAGTCTCGTGTATTCACTCGTGGCGTGTGCGTGATTGCTATATCTCTATGCGACAAACTGTCTAATAGCATACACACAGTCACAACTTCTAACATGCAGTGCAGCGCACAGTACTGCACTGTAGTATGCTTCAGGCCCTTCAGAATAAATGGACTCCGCGGTCACATATGGGGATTATTCTTCAAGAAAATGCATCGGCAAGTTTGTGACCGCAACTTGTCTATTATACTTGTGTGGATCGTGCATGAAGCGGCTACGGAGTACCATGTATTCATATACATCTCGGCGACAGCGATTCCTAGAATACTGCTTTGATGGGAGAATCGTCCCGCGGAGCCCTAGTCCAGTCGGCGATCTTTTAAAATACTGCGCAACTGCTCATGCACGGAAGGACTGCAGAGCATTATTCGAGAAATTGCGGAGGCAGTAGCCGTAATTTCTCAAGAACCAATTTGTAGTATTTGAGAGGGGGAGATGGACAGACAGAGGAAAGGAGATGCAAATTGCGTACATGTTTTTCTGTTCCGCTGTGCTTGGGTCCCTACCCATTTTCCTGAAATGCGGTGCCGGTGAGAAAGACAGGGAGAGGAAGAGAGCAGCTAGCAAAGCGAATATTGCCCAGGGGCATCTCCATGGGTCGAGTTTCTGCTGCCGTGCATCAGTCTGTACGGCAGCACAACAGTTCTCAGTGCAGGGCAGGGCAGTGTGCATCATCCAGGTCCAGTGGTGAGGGTGAACACAGCCCTTTGTCTTATGGGTATCAAATGAATGGTCATGTGATTGACCTTGCTGTGCTGAACATTACCATCCAGTGCAGTGGCCAGTTCTCTTGCCCTTTCTTGTTCTCTCTCTCAATTTCTTCTAATGTGTACTGTCTACGCCCGTAGGTGTGTGTAATCTGTGGGTACTCTATGTGGGGTGTGCAGGCTTGCACCAGAGCTAGAGAGAGAGAGAGAGAGAGAGAGAGAGAGAGAGAGAGAGAGAGAGAGAGAGAGAGAGAGAGGTGGGGGAGGGGGGAAGGGAACGAGGGAAAGACAGACATATGTACAGCCAAGATTTGTGTCTGGCATCAAGAGTTTGTGAAAAGCATGAGCGGGATAATCGTTATTGTAAGTGTAAATGTGCTTGTTTGTGTGTGTGTGTGTGTGTGTGTCCATGCCTGTGTATGCGTTTGTGTGTTGCTTTGTCTGTGCGTGTAGCAAAGATAGTGTTTCCTCCTCATGAGCATGTGTGTGTGTGTGGAAAGCAAGACTTCGCCGCAGAATGACTATGTTTGTTCTCGCGTATGTGTCACTGGAACAAGGAAGAAATGACAACATGATTAATATGAGTAGGGTTGAGAGAAAGCCTGTGAAGATTGGTGAATCTCCTGTTTAGTTTACATATTTATCTGCCATACTAGGTTCAGGCTCACACACAAGGAAAGTTTGTGTGTGTGTGTGTGTGTGTGTGTGTGTGTG